CATTACATTTCATAATGTGGAAGAGGAAACAAAAGATGAGATCATTCTTTCTGGATTTGATCTATTTGCACAATGTGTATATATGCTCTATTTATATGCAGTGAAGCAATAAAAAGAAAAAAAGGAGTTCCAGAAGAAGCCAATGGAGTATCCTCTGAGTGCTGGAGAGGAACCTCCCCAGCTCAGAAGACGTGTCGGTACAACCTTCAAGCTGGATGACAACCTGCTCCCTACTGAGGAGAGGATCCTGCTTTGCAGGAATTGGAGAGCAATTTTATTTTTATTTTTTTTAGCGTAAGCAACTATCAGGTCTTCTTAAGGAAGTACTCATTTTCTAGCGCACTGTAACCAGTCTTTTATGTACAGAGATGCTATAATGGAAGATCAGGATTGTGAGAAACGGTCCAAGATTGTGCAATTAGTTGTCAGAAAGAAGATGAGGTGAAGCACTGTTACAGGGTTCCGTTGTGGGTTTGTGTTGTTTCCCTAACTCCTTTCAGCACATAGACATTTTTTGTATCGCCTGTGCTTACTGGAAATTCAGAGCTGGTTTTAGAGCAGCATTCTGTTGCAGATGTTCAGTGTCACCTCTTGTCTTTCATTCTTCACTGATTCGCCTATTATATTTCAAAGTTTTGTACAGTTAAAAGCACACTTTTCTGGGGTCTTACATACCCTGTTGCTAATGCAGTCAAACTTGCAATCAAGTGCAAAAGCAAGGAAAGAAGAAATAGTCCTTCTACATCCACAATTATTTTGTAATATTACTGCATACAGGTATTTGAAGGGCATGTCATTGTCCATCATAAAATCACAAGGTTGGAAACAACCTGTAAGATCATCCGGTCCAACCATCTCATCACCATTGCCACCACGAGCACTAAACCACATCTCACAGCTCCTCACCTGGACACCTCTTGAACACTGCCAGGGACGGTGACTCCACCACCTCCCTGGGCAGCCATTCCAGTGCCTGACCACTCTGAGAGAAAAAGTTTCAGTGAGAGAAAAAGTTGTCAGTGCTTTCTAACTATAAGGAAAAATAGATTTGTCAAGGTTATTAAATATTTTCACAGCATTTGATGAACACTTCCTTGGCAGGTTTTCTCTATTTTTTTCAAATAGAGAGGTAGCAAAGTCACGGTTTAAAAATTTAGTAGGCAGTATTGTTTACCTCAGAGAGGTGATACATGCACGTATGGTAATTACTTCAGTAGCAAATTCTGTGATAAATGGCAGTTTCAGATCATCAGGAAATCTTCAAAGAAATACATTGTCTCCTCTGCACATTCTCTTTTGATTCCAGTTGCATGCTGTCAAATTCGCGTTACGTAGTTTCGTCTAAAAGACACCAACGTCTTATCCTGTATCTGCTCTTCATTTGGCCAAAATCTAGCACTGAAGAGCCAATAGACGGCACCGTCTTCTGACTTGCAAATGCATTATCATTCTAGAAGCTAATCTGCTTATTTAAATATCTAATTCTATGAAAACAATACTTGATGGTGTGGTAACTGTAGCCAGCGCATACATGAACATGTAGAAGTGTATGAGAGAAAACAGCTTTGAATCTGTTTGTGGCCTCATCTGCAACTTCTGTTAGAGGCACGGTACTTGGTGTTGCTTACTTCCTAAAAGGAGGAGTAAAAGCTGCTGTTTAAAATTTTTTTTCAGTTTAATTTGGATTCCTAAATGCAAACATACAGGTCATACTTAGTTCATTTATTTAACATAGTCTGCCATTCCAACTTTAAATTCTAACTATATCTTATGTAAACAAAGATTATAGGTCTTTTTCCCATAAGAGTTGCCAGGAGTATGGTTCAGTTGTAGGTTTAGATTTTCAGCTTTCCCACAAGAGGAAAATACTAAGCATTCTCAAAAATCTGTGCTATGATTTGTAATGATTTTGCTTTTTAATGCAGAAGTTAAATTCCTGGCCCAGGCATTAGACAAAGTGACCAGAGAAGAAGCGTTACTGAACCTGGTGCTCACCAACCCTCATTAAAGAGATTAAGCTTGGAGGCATTCTGGGCAGCAGTGACTGTGCCCTTGTACAGTCTGTGATCTGGAGGAAGCTGGACCTGGCAAAATGCAGTTAGGACGCTGAATTTCAGGACCGTGAACTTCAGGCTGCTGAAGGAATTGCTGGATGAAGTCCCCTGGGAAGTTGTCTTTAGAGATAAAGGAGCAGAGCTGGCAGCTAATTAAGGATACCTTTTTGAGAGCATAAGAGCTCTGTCCATTTGTATAGGAAAAAAAGCAGAGGAGGCAGGAAACTGGCATGGCTGAGCTGATTGAACTGGGAGTTAAGGACACACACAGACAGTGGAAGCAGGGACATGTGGCCTGGGAAGAATACAGGAATGCCCTCCAGATATGCAGAGATGGGATTGTGAAAGCCAAGGCGCAGATAGAACTGCCCTTGATGGGGGATGGGAAGATTAACAAGGGATTCTACATGTACATTGTTCAGAAGAGACAACCCAAAAGAGTGTACCCCCTCTGATAAATAAGAAGGGAAAACTGGCTACAGCAGGCATGGAGAAGGGAGTGGTGCGGTGAGTTCTTTGCTTCTGTCAGCCAAGCTTCTCATGTCTCTTGTGTCTCTGAACTTCTAGGTGGGGCCTGAGGGGGCAAAATCCCTCCCACTGTAAGAGAAGAGTAAGTCTGAGACTGATTTGTGAGACTGGATGTTTATAAATCTGTGGGGCCTGATGATGTGTATGCCAGGTCTTGAGGGAGCTGGCTGATGTGTTTGCCAAGCTGCTATCCATTATATTTGAAAAGTCTTGGCTATCAGCATAGTCCCTGGTGACTGGAAAAAAGAGAAACTTTGCTTCAATTTTTAAGAAAGGGAGAAAGAAATGAAGAACTACAGACCAGTGAGCCTGGGAAGGTCATGGAACAGATCCTCCTGGAAAGCATGTTAAGGCACGTGGGAGACAAGGAGGTGATCCAAGACAGCCAGCATGGCTTCACCAAGGACAGATTGTGCCTGACCAATCTGATGGCCTTCTGCAATGAGTGACAGCATCGGTGAGCAAAGGAAGGGCAACTGGTGTCATCTACACGAACTTCTGCAAGGCCTTTGACATGGTTCTACACTACATCCTTATCTGTAAATTGGAGAGAGATGGCTTGGAAGGTCAGACTGTTGGGTGAGGAATTAGTTGGAAGGTTGCAGCCAGAGGGTTGTGATCAGTACATAAAAGAAGCTTATGCTGCAAATATCAGCTTGAGCATGCATTGTATCTGTTTTTATTAGATAGTAATTTGCTCATAGCTCATTAACTTAATAACATAGTGAGCATATGTGCTTGTTACTGTATATCTGGCAGTCTCCAGCTTAAAGAGAGGAAGGATAATAATAGATTTTGTTCTGGCAAAAGGATAAACTGCTTGTAAACTAGTAAGAGTCTGCAGAGTAGCTATATTTTGAAACATATTTATGCATATAAATGGAAAGTACAGTTTAGATGCATATCAAAGCTTTTGAGGAAGCATCTACAACTGTAGGGTGATGAAGTTGAAAGAGGATTTGTAGTGGTCTGTGGTACTGAATCTTTGGATACTGGACCAGAATTATGAGATCTAAGTTCACTTGTCTGTTTTACCACAGACCTTGTGTGTGCTCTTGGAGGTAACTTCCTTTTTTGACTTATTTTTTAACTGTAATGCACAAGAATATTACCACCATCACCTTGGTGATTTTGAGCTCTGTGAGGATGGTGTGTATCCATTTTCAAAGTGATGCAACAGTAACTACAACTAAGTCTTTGTTTTGACTGTTTCTCTAAAGAGAAGAAATCCTAGTGTGTACTGTTCTCATGCTATGACCTACAAGCTGTGAGTAACAGGTAATATTAAATGGTGAATGTGCACATAAATCCATAAATTATCAATTTCAGTGCTCGGAAGCAGTCAACTAGTTCTGAGACCAGTGATGTATGTGGTGTATTTCAACATAAAGGGTGAAAATACAGATAGCAGTGGGTATTAGATGTAGGGCAGATCAGTGCAAACCTGTGGTCAGCTGTGTGGAACTGCTAAAGCAAATAGTGTGTCTTCTGAGAAGGAGTTAGGGTTATACTTTTGGAGTACAAACGCACATGATTTGAGATTTGAGTCTATGGTAACTGTATTGTTCCATTTGCACGAAAAGGAAGCTTAATTAAACTTGTTGGTCCTGTTGAAATTTAGCTTTATTATTCTTAGATGTGTGGATAGCCTGTTTGTTGTGCAAAAAGGTGGGTGCAAAAAGTGGCTTTTGTTGTGATATCAGAACTGAGAAACAGTGGTGTACAATTAGATCTGAAATCTTCCTTGCACATACTGGAAGAGAAGGAAGGTTCTTCATGGCAGCTAGAAGGAAATCCCAGCTTTCTCATCTTGTAATCTTGATGGTGGAACTGAATGTTTTCTTGGGAGATGCATCAGTAGTAGGAAATTCTGGGTGAGAGGCACTTTGGTTTATTCTTGTAGCATTTCTTGAAATGTCATATACTCTTGCTGCCATACTACTATGGCAGCAAGTTCTTTAAATCAAGATGTTAGTATAGTTTCTCAATTGTCATGTACTTGTGCCAAAGAGTTTAGAACTGCATGGAACACACAGTATAAAACATGTCCACTTTCTGTAATGGAATGGTCCTAAAACGTGCCAATAGTGCATGTTTATATGTGTCTTTCTATGGCAGAATCCTTTATTGCTACCTATAATACTTCTTTTTGGGATGTGTTTCTTTCTGTTTGATGATTACATAGTGGCTCCATAGGTTTTGTGCAGTTAAATTTTAGCACTAAGAAAGAGCAAGTGTATGTGTGGCTGCATCATGTGTACTGAAATGATTTATAGGGTTACCAAATAATATGTTGAAAACTTGCATTAATGGTAATTAAAAAGAGTTAATCACCTACAGAGAAGGTGAAAAGAGGTGTCTCTAAAGGCAGTTTTTCTTGTTGTTCTTTTTAAATAATTTTTTTCTTTCTGTTTCCAGGTTTTCTCAAATAATGATGAAGCCCTTATTAACAAAAAATTGCCCAAAGAACTTCTGTTAAGGTAATTCAAGATAATATATTACGAAGTAAAAATGTTAGGATAATTTACTGCTTGTGTGGCTTACAAACCACAACATGCTATTCATTCTTGAAATAAATGACAGCATGTCTGTTAGATTTTGGGATTTGTGAACCTGTTTTCTTTTGGTTGCTCTTGAGTTGTTTTAATCTGTTCAAATTACATTATACTATGGATGACGTAATTTAATAGTGATGTTTTTGTTGCATATTAGAAAAAGTGAAATAATGTCCACATCTTTAGTATATATAGCCAACTCTTTTCTGTACTGCATGGTGTTTGTCCGTCTGAACAGTGTATGATCCCTCTCTAATGTAATTCCCTATAATAGTTACTCACTCTTCTTGTTACAAACTTTGTTATAACAAACAAATATAACTTCAAAGCTTTCAAAAATGCACTGCAGTGAAAAGCACTGCCAGTCACCCTTATTGTCAGTCTGTGTTATACGTGGCAGAACCAAGAACAGGATTTTACTTGCTGTAATCATTTGGCCAGCCATTCCTTTGCTACTGTGTGAGTAGATCACGTTAGCGACAACATCAAGATCAGTAAATTTAGCCCATAGTTGAGGTACAGATGGATGTCTTCACATGAAAGCAACCTTGAACAAATTGAGCAAGTGCAAACTGCAAAATATGGAGGTACTGCTTCACTGAATGTGACTACGTGAGAGGTGGAACTGAATCTGCTCAGCAGTGTCTTCTCTACCTGCCTATAGTTTTCATTACAGTCCACTCTTAGTGCAGAAAGAAATGTTTGCATATAATGGTGCAATTACAGTTCTTAGTGATGGTGTTATTAAAACTGAGCTGATTTATTAATACACTAAAGAGGAGCATGTACATTATTGCTTCCTGTCTGATTTGATGTTGGATATCTGTAGCAATGATGTGTTGCATTCTTATTTATTCAGAATGTGTTTCTAGAAGGTTATTCCTTCTTGTAGTGTCTGTACTATCACAATGTTCACTTGGTGATGTTAAAGCAACAGCCTTTTGTTAAAGGAATTGGATTTTTGGAAGATTTCCATTTTGTTCCAAAGTACCAGTTCTGTGTGGTGCTGAAATTGTAAATTAGCCTTGTAGAACTGTTTGGAAAATGTAAGTAAATGAACCAAATAATAACCTAAACACAAATTCTAATAACACTGCTTCTTGCACTCATGCCATATTTCTGAATCTGAAGCAGTTCTTTTCTAGCAGTAGGACTGTTTTCTATGGCAATAACTGTGATTTCCACTGTTACTGGTGTTAAGCATCCTATCAACATAGTTCATCAGAATTTGTTGATGTACTTTAGAAAATGAGATAGCAAACAAGTTTTATTCTGAAACAACGTAGTAATTACATGGTGTGCCTTAGCTTTCTTTGTGGGACTGTCTTAACGTCAGTGTCTAAAGAAAGGCTTATCTGTGGGGAATTTGTTTTATGCTTGAAAACGTAAATGCTTTTGTAAGCCTGAGCTTAAATGTCTTTCAAAACCTAAAACCATTTATGTTGCAACATGTTTTAAAAGTAATGTGACAGAACAGGTTCAGTATTGCTGTGCTGAGTGTAATTAACATCCTAATTTTTGTCATATTAACTATGCAGTCTACCCTTAAATTAAGCAGAGTAAATCAGTTGCAGTGGAAACATTTTGCTTTCAGCACAGGAGATGAATAGTAAATGTGAAGTGTCATCAAATGCATGTAGCTTTTCTCTTGCTTACATCACAGTGAAACTATTGGAAAATTCTTCAGCTTTGTTTTAAATATTAAAAAAAGCACTAAAACTTGACACGTGCAAAAAGGTGGTTAATATCTGGATACAAATGGTAAAGCAGAGTGTTGCAAGGGTTGGTCTTATTCTCGTTTGCATTGAGTATTTAAGTAGTTTGACTGTAAAAAGCTAGCCAATATTTTCATTAATGTTGAGAAACATTTTTGTGTTGGCAGGCTTAAGGGATACTACCACTCTTTAAAACGTACTCATTTATTTCAGTGATCATGTACTCTGAGGTTAAAGTAAGCACCTGTGCTAGCTTTCCATGCTAGAAGATTTGATACAAGAATGGCAGCTTCAGAAGCTGAATTGTAAAACAAGGCAATGATTATATAAGCAATTTTTGTTATTGTGGAAGTATTGAAGGACCTGTAAACGTAAGCTGTGGGGAAAAACAAGTACTATTCATGCATATGTAAAAGCATGTATCTGCTTATCTTGTTTTCTTTAACTTTTACTTTATTTTGAAAAATTGTCCCAGGAGATTATAATGGTTTTGGCTTTTTGTGGGCTTTTTTTATTCCTGTTTGTTATTCCTGCATTTATTCCAGCTACTCAAGAAATGAAAATTGGCTATGTTGTCAGCAGTAGAGATGTTTACTTTTGGTCACTAGAACCATTTCCTTCATGCCAACGAACTTCTGATGTTTGTGAATTGTACCTTAAATGTAGAAGCTATGACTTCTGCTATAAACGGTACTTGAAGGGTTCACGTGCTTGAATAACAGGTCTCAGTCATCAGACTTCAAATTTAAGCATTCAGTCAGATACAAAAGAAGAAAAGTTTTGGGACCCAAGTTAGGAGAGGAACTCAGTAGTTGTCCTCCAGCAGCACCTGTCCTTGTAAATAAGAATAAGGTATTATGCATTTTCATGCTTCTTTTGTTTATATTACTCCATGGTGCTTTTTGTTGGTGTTTTTCTCAATAACACAGCAGTCTTCCTGATTTTGAAACTTCCCACCTAATTTGAGCAAAACTGTAACTTTCAAAACCGTGTTTAGCCATTTTTTCTTCCCCAGCTTTTTTCCCTCATTCATAGCACACATTAAACCACTGGCTGGCACACAGCTCCTAAGAAGATCAATGTGAGATCTTTTCCATATTCCAAAGGGAGTTCATTGACCGCCAGCCAGGCTGTTGATCAAGTCTTGTTTTCTTGGATGTAGCAGAAGCTCTTTTCTGAATTCGAGGTAAATCACTGAAAGATTTTGAAGTCAGTTCACACTTGAGACTAATTGGAAGGTTTTCTAACGAAAGCGGATTAATCTGACAGTTGCAACTTGTATCTTCAGTGTTTACTTGAGATTAGGTGTGCTACCATGAGAATCATGAGGGTACAGAGAAAACGAAATGACTATTTTATTAATGGACAAAGCATGTTAAATAGAATTAACACTGGTGTTGTGATATTATTAATCAATGGCTGATAAGTCCATAAAACTTTTCTAAAATGCTTACTAAGACATAGTCTTAATTATTAAAATTCTATTGTTTTCCAGGCTGAAGATCAAACTATGTAATCACTTCCCTGACAGCTCTATCTTGTCCCATGCCCAGTTCACTCTGATCATTTGTTTGCTTTTCTAATCATGTCTTTGTGGTTAAGGACCACTGGAAATGGGTATGTGACTCCACAGGCTGAGTCTGGATTTAGATGTGCTGTTCCCAGTCTTACTGTTCTTCCTCGCTTACTATCAACTTTAGTCTCCATATTTATGGTTAATAAATATATTGCCCTTATCTTTATATAGTGGAGTTCCCTATATTGGGAAGTTTGTAAGAGGTACTGACCACTCAAAAATGATTGCTCGTATCAAACAAGTTTGGTCATTTGTAACTGGAGGAGGTAGTTGCCAGTTTCTATTTAATGTTTAAGTTAAGTGATTTGGGTTTGTTCATAAACAAGTGCAAGAATAATCTTAAAATTGGATGTTTGGAACAGAATTGTTTGAAATGAAATTTCTTCTTAAAATGCAAGAGGCTGTAAGAACACAAACTGAAAACTGTATGAGTGCCTTTATGTATGGTACTAATGCAGAAGAGGAGATTTGGGAATGGAAAATTCACTTTGCCAAGATAGTGAGTAAAATTCAGGCATTATGAAAAGGAAATACTTTGTTTAAGGTTTGTGCTTGACCAACTGGGACTTCCTTACAAATGTACTGCTTCAGCATTACTTGATTCAGTATGAATAGTATCACTTGGTTACAAACATGCTTGTTGCAATGGATTAGTGATATTGGAACAAATAAAAGCAGTGAGCATTTAAAGCAGGAGTAACAGCTAAAGAGGATGTAATGGTGACATACACAACTCAGGATCATGCTTTACCAGCTGTTTGTTTCATTTTGTTGTTTTTTTTTTAATATGTATACTCTTAAGCCTCTCTTTAGAATCTGCTGTTTAACTTATCAAGATCTAATTCCATTTGGAGCTGTATTTTCCTTGAAGTTGAAGCCTTGTTTAAACTCACTCTTGATTAACGAATTACCAAAGCCAAAAGTTTAGAAGTATCAGTGATACAACAGTCATTTCATTCATATTTAATTTTCTTCATCCCTCCCTGAAATTATTGTTCCTCATTTCTATACTAAAATTACAATCAAAGAACAATTCAGAAGAAAATCCTAACAAAAATACCCACAATATATTATTTTCATGTGTTTTGTTATTCATGCCAAAGTTTGAATACTTGGTATTGTTATTTATACTGTGTTGTTTTGTGTTTGTTGGGTTGGGTTTTTTGTCAGTAACTTTCAAAGTATTTACAGAAGAGATGAACTTTCTCAACCATGCCTTCCTCACACAGACACAAGCGTCAGGATAAGAATTCATTGGAAAAAGTCTTACTCCTGACCAGTAACATAGCTCCAGGTGTGATTAAGGCAAGGCTCATCCTAGTCCAAAGACTAACTTTTCCATAACCATTATAGCTGTAAGGATCAAGGTGTATGAAACATCCCCAGGTTGCATAGCACCAGTGCATCACATATTTGTTTGTTTTCCATGTCTGTCGAGCTTTGAGCCCACAGAGTGGGTGCGTTTAGTTTTGGTTGTTTGGTGCCCAGGCTGTGTAATCCCTTCTCTCCTGGGAAAAGATGCTCAGTAGGATAGTTGGAATGGTCTGCAGGTTGCATTGGAACTGTGGGCTGCTAGGTAAACTACTCTTAAATATTCATTAGGCTATTTTTATTTAGTAATGTGCTATAGTTGC